TAGTCACCTGAACATAACAGAAGCCCTAGTAATTTATCACTGAAACCTAGTCTACATTTTCAAAAAAGTTACATTTTATCTCTCATTCTACTCTGGTCAACATCTTCCCATTATTCTTCTGTTTTATTTTTACTTTCATCCTTTTTCCTTTAATCTGTGGTTGTTAATTTCACTTTTCTCTTATTTCCTAGGTTATTATACAGTCACTTTACAACCTCAGAAACAACTGGCTACAATGTGGTGCTTACTTATGTATTTTAAAACAGACGTTGCCATTCATGAAGATATAATAACCGTGTAATTTTAAAAGAACAATGTTTTGATGATATTGAGTAGATCTTGTAGTTATTGGTGAACACATTTTTTTCGTTCAACTATGAATAGTCGTAATTATCTGATAATGAAAGAAATTGGAAAGTTTATACTCCATCTTCATATCTTTCTATCTTTCTAGACGACATCATCTAGAAAGATGATGAAAGCTTCACAATTAAACAACCCAACTCAGAGAACACAATACAACCAAGATCATCCAACTGAGCTACAAATATTCCCCATTATTTCCCATTCATATCTAATATTCTTAAGCCATAAAACCCGCCCCCTAGTTACCATTAAAAACAATAATTTTTCTTAAATGAGTTCATAACTTATCACTTTCGGCTGCATCTCATTGACTGGTAAATTGAATTGATAAACTCTGATAAATTTCATCAAAGTGGACGTTAGTTGTAAGCTCTAAATGTTAAAAATCTGGTTCGCTTGAAACAGAATCATTCCTGTGCTTAGATTATGCAACAAGTCTAAATTTCTTCATGAAAATAATCAATATTTAAATGTAAAAAAAATACTTGGTTCGGAGGAAAAACATATTTCAATATAATGGAATTATTTTATTTCAAGTATTTCAAGATTAACCTGCATAACACTTTTACTAAGTGTGAGGTCATTTTAGAAATATGGTCTTTTTTAAAATATCTAGAAGGGATAATGCAATGAATCTTGAAAAGGAAATTCACAGTCAGCTGTTTTAACCATGTAACTGAAACGACTACAACTGCTGTTTCACTATATAATCTTTACCATATATTGTCAGTGAAAATAGACTGACAAAAAAAAGACTGTAAATAAAAAGAAATATGCCTTACTTAATTTTTCTAGATATATATAAGAAGAAGAAGAGCTTTATCAAGCAAGGCATCAAACTTTATCATTCTCAGGTATCATTCTTTTATTTCTAGTTATTTAGTGAATTGTACAATGAGAAATTTAATCTTTGTTCATAATATTGTCAAGTTCTTGGTGAATTTTCAGGTTAGAACAAAATCATCATAAGGTTTGGTTGTTCTAGATATCTTTTTGTTTCTGTTTTAAGCACTAGGACTATCCGACACTGGTTTTTCAGATTTAATGCATATTTTCATAATGTTTTTCACATTTTTGTAAATATTAATTAATAAGACAGGCGTTCATTAGCCTGAAACCAGCGTGGAGATCTTCTGCACTCAGCATGTGGAACAAGATCCGGATTTTCAACACCAATTCAGTCAAGTCAGTGCTTCTGTATGGTTCAGAGACTTGGCACGTTTACAAAAGGGATTCCCAACAAACTACAGACATTCATCAACAACTGCATACACTGGCTCGATACTGAAGATCAGATGGATGGCCCGAAAGAATAAGCAACAAGGAGCTCTGGGAACGAACTAACCAAGAACCTATCACCCAACAGATATGCACTGGAAGGAAGTGGAGATGGATTAGGCATACACTGAGAAGGCCGATTGGGGACATCACGCGTCAGGCCAGGTACTCGAGTGGAATCCCCATGGGAAGCGACGAGTTGGACGTCCGAGGGTGACATGGAGGAGATTCTTCGAGGAGGAAATGAGAGCTTGTGGGCAGTCGTGGAACCAGGTTCAAAAGATTTGAGATAACAGAGTGTAATGGAGACCTGCTACTGAAGCCGTATGTTCCATTAGGAACCCAAGGGACTAATAATAATTCGTAGCATTATCACTGCATGTTATGCCATAGAAGATGATAAAATGCAATATATTATAGTTGAATGGGAGCATGTCCCCCTGCCTATACATCAGTAAGAGGTAGAATCATGTCTGAATGAGTGATTATATAGTGACCAAAAAGTAAATCATTATTGTAAGATTAAGGTAAATGCTTTTCAGTTTTGATGTGTTAAAGAACTCAGCGAGTTACATAGGACACGTTGTTAGGAATCATTATTCGCAACCCATTTCAAGGATAAATAATTATAAAACATAATTTCACTACAGAGTATCATGTTAGCTGAAACACATACAAAGTATATTTTTGAATATTTCAAGTCGACAAAGGTTTTTTCATAAATATCTGTCACCGTCTACTACTTAGTAATCTAACACAATGTAAAAACTCTTAAAAATTTTACATTTCAGTTCATTTAGTTAGAAATAGTTAATAATTTATGGGATATTAGCTTTACTTAAGAAAAAAATAAAAGTGTTTTTACACTAACTCAGTTGCCTATGAATTAACTATAATACACATATTTTTGTTTCTTGGGAAAAATATTTTAATTTTTACTAAAGATGGCTGTTGAGAAGAACTCATAAACCCAGTGAAGATACAATGCCTGATTTTGAACTGTACTACTGTATTATACATAGAATTCTTTTTTTATCTAAGCTAGTTCATCATTACCAATAAGAGTCATTCAATAGCGGAGACAAAAGTTGAAATAGTAGGAAAATATTACTGTTGCACAAGTTTAGTCGTAGAGAATTATCTAAAATTTAGGTTATATCTGCAGTTCGGAATGAATGTTGTTAGAATTATATACGGGTAGTCATTCAATTGTTGTCATACAGGATATATATATGAGGTCATAGCACAATGTTGAACATCATGATAACCATTGTAACTCTTAAAGAAGATGTTTTGAAATCAAAAACCTAGATAACAATGAACATAAACAAAATGAAGGTGTTCACAAAAAATACTTTGAAAAAATATAACATTAAAACACATATTTATGCTGAATATTGAACAATGTCTAAGATTTCACCAAATGTTTCCATTCAGAAGCTAATCAACAGGTAGGATATAACTTACTAAGCACAAGTAGTATAAAACTAATTGTGAACCACCATAAATGTGTACTAGTTAATGAATACACAGCTAGAATCATGCTGAATGGTGTTTCGTGTTCAAATAAGCCTAGTGACAAGATCTTCGGTATGATCAATTAGCTGAGTGAATTGATATGAATGGGTTTTTCCAAGTTGTATTATAAGCTTAATATAAACTACTGTAAAGGGGATAGAAGTGTTGATATTGTTTACTCAATACAGCTGTCTAAATAGTTGGGTGTTTGACTATAATCACCTTACCTTATATCTAATTATTTACTTGGTAATAGCGTGAACAATATGTCATACAAAAAACAATGGAAGTAAACACTGCACCAATCCTTCGACGAACTAATTTTACAATTATGTAATAAAATTTTGAGGGGGTTGTGGAGATTTGGAAATATTTCAAGTTGTTATTCATCGAAGACTGATATCAGTTGGAGGAACAAATGAAACCTGGGAGCACTGGACAGCTGTTTCGTCCGACTAGTATGGGACTCCTCAGCAGTGCGCACCCACGGTCCTGTACAACCACGGATCGAACCCGCGACCTTCAGGTTCCGCAACCAGCGCGTTACCATTGAGCCACTGGGTCAGAATCCAATGCTCCATATTTCCAACTTCTGTTAGCTCACGATATAGCGCAAACCGCCACCCAATGTCATCGTTGAGTATTTGTCCTCACGACCATCAGGCTTTGACTGGCTTTGGCTGAGGAGTCCCATACTAGGACGAAACAGCTGTCCAGTGCTCCAGGTTTCCTTTGTTCCTCCAACTGATGTCAGTCTTCGATGAATAACAACTTGAAATTATGTAATATCCACTTTGTATTATTCAACTAAGTTTTGGGTATTAAGCGTGGACAGTTAAAAACCTATAGAGAAAGGTCACTTCGACTGTCAGATGGGTGATTATCACAAGCTATTTTTATTCAGAAAGCTAAGTTTGATTGATATGTTGCTTTTTACTTTGGTAATTTCGAAACCCATGACCTATATATGCATGCTCATGGATACCTTAGTTTCAGTAGAACTGTTTTATTTCTTTAACCATAAGAGACAAATGTTAATGTTTAATGATTTCAGTATTAGCTAATAGTATTAAATGGTAGGGAAAACCAAAGACCTGGGGTTTATCTCTTTTTAAAACTCATGGGAAATTTATGACTCCATCTACAGAACTTTTGGTCATTTTCAAAACTTCAGCCTACATTTCTCATTATCATACATGAAAAAGTCATCAATAAGCTATGAACACTGGATTATAAAGGAATTCACATCATATACATAATTGCTTTGGTCATCAATTACTAACCAATCGGTATTATTCGATAGACATCTAGATTTTTCTGCTAAATCAATCAAAGCGTTTGATAATGTAATCCACAAAGTCATCAGAAAGAAATGTGTTTATAAACACTGATGATTTATTTAAAGTAAACAATAACTTTCAAATAGATCTTACGTTTGAATATTCTTAAATGAGATATTAGTTAACCATTCTAAACTTTAAAACTTGTTTATTTTTCCCCATTTTCCGTGATATAACATTTATCATATGCAAACAAGGTGCTTGAAAATAACTCATCTCAATGAAAATCTTGGTATTGCCCCATTATCACTCTTTTTCTTCAAAAAATGATATAAACTATTAGGGTGAATACAAGAATATTTCAGTATATATAACTGAAAAACGTAGGCCATTTTTGCAGTAGTTAAACAGTTGAACTCATGAGCGTTGCCAAGTTAAATTACTATCAAAAAGATTTTTAAATCCTTATGTAGCGTATTTTATGCAAATTTACTCAATGAAATGACATTACCTTGAATATTAAAAATAAATCTTATTACAATATTTCCTGAGACTTACCTTGAAATTCTTTTTGTGCAGTACTAACATTTGTTACAATATTGCTTACATGTCCAAGTACAGTTGCCATTAAAAACATTCCAATAACGCCTTCACATATTAGATAAAAGTATGCAACAGGACAATTAGGTGTAGGAAATCCACCAACAGGAAATAAACTTAGCATACTCCAATAAAATGCATGCAGATAAACATAATCACCATGACTGTCTGATAGTGGGTGTATTTCACGAAACAAATGAGAAGTTGATGACATTGTTGGTGTCATAGACACCATATTACTATTAGCATATGCTATTGTAACTATAGTAGCAGATGCTGTTGAATTGAAAAATGTTCCTCCAGTATTTAAACCAGCTAATGAATGATTTCCAGTTTGAAGTAATGGATTATTATTAATGATGCTGTCAGTGAAGTTACTGTGATGTCCGCTTTGACTAGTACTATGCGTACCATTAGTGGTATGATTATTACTACTACTTGTATTGTGATAACCATGACTTCTAGTGCTTAAATCAGTGGATTTTGAACTAGATATCCCTGTTGTAATTGTACCTGGTGTAGATGACAGCGTCATAGTTGTCATAAATACACTTTCAGCAGTTGAATTAAACAACTGAAAAATACATGCATTCCAATGTAAAAATGTTAAATAATATAGAAGTAATTTAGTTGATCTCATTAAATTAGGATAATTTGCATGTCGTTCAGCTCTATCCATAAATTGCCAAAATTTATACACTTTACATAAACGAAATATTCTTAAAATAGATTTGAATCCAATTGATAAATATAAGAAATCCAATGGAAGTAAACTTAAACAATCAATATAAAAACGTGATGAATTCAGATAATGTGAACGCATTTTCATTCCATCGAATTGCATAACACCATCTTCTAAAAAACCAGTTCTTATTGATATAGTCATATCGATTATATAGAGTAAATCAGCAAAATAATCTAAAGTTAACCAGAATATAACAGTATGTTGATTGATTTCATTAAATGCAAATCGATAAATAATAACCCATAAATGATACATGAAAATTATACTGATAACACCACACCAAGAATAAACAATTCGTCCAGAAGGATTAAAATAGAATGATGTATTTTTCCATTTTGATTTTAAACGAATATTTGTTGTACTCATTGATGATGCTGGTAACGGTGATGTTGTAGTAAGTGAATTTGTCTTATAAACTCTTTTGATTATATCATTTTTATCTCTATGATTGAAATAAGAATAAGAGGAATTGTATAATAATGGTGTATTAGGCTGTGAATTTGAATAATTCTCACCTGCTGAACGTTTACGTATGTGATTTTGTCTTTCATATGCTGGTATTATATTTACCTTAACATTTTCTTCTTTATCCAACAACCAGTTGGGTTGTTTAGAATTGTCTAATGTGATTACTGAATCATCGGATGTACTAACATGTGTATCATCCATTGTAGACTATACTTTAATACAAGTAGAAATGGTAATATTTTCGAGGTCATTAATTTTATTATCGTCTGGTTGAATAAGCCACCAAACAAATTGGAATAGATTAAAGTAGTAAAACCTTTTGAATGATGATCATTTTTCTCAGCTAGTTATGTTTTATTGTGACTAAACCCGAGAAAGTTTAAAACCAATCAGTCATATAAACCAAATATAAGAACTTGATTGGTTAAAATTTTAGCCAGTCAGAATAACGATACACTACAAACAAATTTTTTTAGCCCAATTAGTCACAGTTGGCTTTGTTACAATTTTTCAAAGTGATCCATACATTTTTAGTATTATATTCTGGTGATATATAAGGATATTGATTGAGAGCCAACAGTGAAATGAAATGAAAAAAAATATTTTTCAATCTGCTCAGTTTATAATGCTCAGTTTCCTACCGTAGACTGTTACAGAAAGAGAGATATACACTGACAAGTTTCAGTATAGATAAAGCGTTCATTGAGATATCCTATGAACCTTCACTCGATTCTTGATAGAGTCATGAATAGAGACTAGTGAAGAGAGTTGAACTAAAATGAAAAGGATTTCTACTGCTTCATTGTTTGCATCTGTTCTTCAACTGATCCTACTCTGTGATAACGTTAACTAGTTGCTAAAAGCCTTTCAGTTAGAAGCCAGATTCCTATTGTTTTCTTTCATTAGAGATTGGTGACTACTCGTAAAAAATAAGAGGTACTTGTACATTCAAGTTTTTCCAAAAATATCTTAGTAACTAATATGAATAGAATAACAATGAAAATTGTGCTAGTAAGAATGAAGGTTAGGTAAATTACTCATAAAATTTATCGTCTCCTTTGTCTAATTCAAAGGCAGTCTTATACACATATTTCCCCATATGATCTCGAATCGATAAAGGGCAATGACTGGAATAGAATAACATGGTAACATTTTGTTTCATCAGTTTCTTGTCAGATGCTTACAAACTGAAACATACAAATATAATATCATATAAGAATTTGAAAATACCTTTTTCCATTTCAATAAACTTGATTAATAGGGAACGACATGGTTTATTAAGGAATACAAAAATTCATACAAAATTAACAGGATATATAATAAAGCTTCAACTATGTACGTGATTCAGCAGAGTTCGAGAGAACAATATGAACACGTAAGCGAGGATTGCGCAAAACTATTGAACAGTTGGCTAGTTGATAATAACAGACAAATTATACAGAAATAAAGTGAGTTGAACTCATTTGGTAGAATGGTAATCAAAATTATGAGCAAACAAAAAAAGATACAGTCAAAATATGATCCCATCATATAAGGGGAAGAGTAAAATGTTAGGTTACCATGGTAAAGAAAGACTTGTTACTGCTTCTTTTTAAACATATAGTTTGATCACCACGACCTCAAAGAACTTGGAAAGGTTTGAATTCCTTAAATTGTTGATTATCTTGAAGGATTTTAAGATATCTACATCATGGTCTATGTCGATAAGATGCCGAGTGACTGCACTACTGAAAGCACTTCTTCCCTGAGATGTAGGCCTCTTTTATATGTGTTCAAAGAATCCAAAGTATGACATTCTGTCTGTCCTGACGATGCCACTACTGCCACATGCGCACACAAACGTGTTCACAGAACTACGGGTAATATGGGAAGGGAACCTGTCGGATTTGGACTGTATCACGCAGCATTTCTTTTGTAGGATATAGCCTGTATAGTGAGGCTTTCTGTGGTCAGCTAATTCTTCAGATTCATACTTATTGTTTGAGGATAGAAGGCTGTGAGCCTTTACTAATTCTTTTCCAGTATATGTCTGTGCTTGTCCGGTCCCGTTTTGAACAATCCACTTGATGATGTTGAGACTACTTGTTCTAGAAGTCGGTTCTGGGAGTTGATTAGTTGTTGCGAGAACCAGTACTCTGTGGAGAAAATGTTCTTCCTTTGCTTTTGTATCCTCCTACTATGTTCTCAGAGGGATCCCGACCGAGTGGGAAGGAAAAGAGAAGATAGACCAGGTTCAAATTCATATCTTAGAATGTTGTATAGCATGATTAGATTTCCCGTCTGTCTGCGACAGGATGTAGAGAAGAGGTTTAGCTCCTTAAGTCGATCTTCATAGGTCAGGAGAGCCATTGCAGGGATCATACGAGTGTATGCCCTCTGAACTCTTTCCAGAAAGTCTGCGTCAACTTTCAGTAAAGGATTCGTCGCCTGTGTACAGTTTTCTAACTTCGTAGTAGTTAAGGATGTGTGAACATATCACCACTTATTTTTGTAAACGTTCTGTCTAGTCACTAAAGTGTCCTAAATCTCCGAGCTGCTACTAATTGACAGTGTGCCGTGATTTTCAAATCACAACTAACTGTGACCCCTAGGTCATTGTGGGTCACTACCGACGATAGAGGAGTCCCATCCATATCGTGGGTGTTGCCAAGTGTGTGCCCCAGATTCATGCTCACAGATTTACCTGCACTGATAGGCATCGGCCGCTTCTCTGATCAGGTGAACAAGCTGTTCAGGTCTGCTGAAGTGCACGCATATCCTCATCATTCCTAGTCTCCCACCAGATTTTTACATCATTAGCGTAGAGAACCATAGGAGATTTCTTGTTACTTGACAGCCTAATTACCTACAGGAAAAACAGCAGGGGACTCAGGAATGTGTCTTGCGACGCTTCACTCTCTACTGACTTCCAAATGAAGATTTGAGAATTGATCCTCACTCCCTGTCTCCTACTATCAAGGAGATCTCATATCAATGCCAGCAGATTGCCAGTGATTCCAAAACCTTCCAATATCCCGAGCAACCTGAAATGGGGCACCTTGTCGAACACTTTACTTAAATCTATCCACATCCACAGGTATCCTATCATCTTTAGATTTAACCCGACTTTCTCTGACTGTGAGGAGGTCCGTCAAGCAATAGAAATTTCTATGAAAACCATGCCATGAACAAGACTATAGAGTGTTGCTCCCTAAGTGAACTTTGGTAGCTTTCTTAATTACTCTTTCTAGGATTTTTACTACAGTATTAGTCAAACCTATCGGTCTGTAATTTGATGGGTGCTGCCTAGAATCTCCCTTAAGGATAGATGTCACTATAACATCCCTCCAGTCACAGGGGAGTGTACCTCCACTGAGGGAGAGTATAAATATAGTAGTCAGTGGTCCCGTTGATTTTTCTACATCAAGAGTACTTAACATCCGAAATGCATCATTGTGATCGATATCCACAGGTTTTATTGTGTTGGATATAAGTGCTTCTGCTGTTGAACAAGTGTCCACAGAAGATTCCTGTGTGAAGACCTCAGCAAAATATCCAGTCATAGCTTCTGCTTTCCCTAATTGTCTTCAATCAAACAGTCAGTTTCTGTCGCTTTGATTTGGACGGGTATACTACGATACATCTTATTTCTGTAGTTCATATAAGATAATAGACTCTTTGGATGTTACAATGCAGCCTAGGAAAGACGTGTTTCAAAGCATATTATAGACCAGCGGATAGCGGCGATATGTTTATTTCAGGCTTCCTTGTAAGGCTTCATCACTTCAGGAGTACAATTTGGTGTTTTTCGGTTTAATAATGTTTAGTATAGCTTAATGGTGTGTTTTAAGTATTTAGCGGCCGGTAATTTTGCTTCCACTTTCTCAAAAAGTAGTTAAGTCCCTACTTCTATGATACACTCCATCAATCAGTGCTATGGAAAAAAAATATAGGTATAAGACATTTTGCTCATGATGTAACAAATTTTATCCGACATAGTTTAAGCCTAGTGAGTTCACCCATTAGACAGGTCTTAGTGGAGTCTCAGATAAACTCAATGATGGTAATGATTTACTGAAGTCTGGAAATACTAATTAGCTATGTTTGCTGGCAAAATATTCCGCAGAAGGTTTCTATCAAACCTACAACAGTGATACTCCACTACAATGTCCAGTCACATAGCTTGATTATCATATCTTAAACTACACTGATAAAAGTTTGATTTACATGTAAGGATAGACATTATCACATGAATCACTGTTTGGTGACTGCTTAAGTGCTCTGAAACAGTATTCTATGCAGTTACGTTTCTGACAGCAGTATAGATAATTATTCGTGCAGTTTTTGATATAAACTTTACTACTACTACTACTACTACTATGCAGATTTTAACTATACTCTTGGTCAACACAAAGTACGCACTGTGTAATACAGAGACGAAGTTTTTCTAACAACTATGATACATTTGCGTCAGACTTTTCAAAGAAACTGATCACAGATTACTTGCCTAGACATTGAATTTGGAGAGTTTTAATGAGATAAGGTAAGACAAAACAGTTATAGTAACAAACATTGGCATAAAGTAGTGTTAAAGAAGCAATAATAAGTTTATACGTCATATCTGAAAATAAAATAAACTGAAGATTACCATACAAGGTTTAAGTTAAGGACAACTAATTGATAAATGCACAGTATGATTTTTAAACTTTCGTATACTTAAGGCTTTCATAGACATATGCTTACATTGCTGACAGCTATAATAGTGTATAGGTTGTTTTAAGGTCATACTTATGACCTTCTACTACCCATATGTGATGCTGTTTATTTAGCATTTGTATTTATTTAGAGTGTATTTCTCCAGCCACTTATGGAATATTTCTCATCCCTGCTGAAAGCCTAGGTCGACTATCTTTTTATGGGACTAAATTATGAGTATGTCTTGACCCTGAGTCATTTCAGTGCTGACTTTTGAATTTAAGGTAATATCCTTGGCGAATAGACTATTGAATAACGTGGGCAGTTAGGAGCGACTCATTTTGATTAACTGATTTTGTCAGTCATATCAAAGTGATATAAACACTTGATGACCGTTCTACTCGTTTGAAGATGAACTTATCAGTTGTGTTCACTGACAAATTCAACTCATAAAGCCAAATTATTTGAACTGACTAAATCTGTTTAGCTAACAGATATTTAGCCTTTTCACTAATAATCTTGGTTCCCTGATCTAGCTGTTTCACCTTGGATCCAACTTAATGGTATTTCAAGAAAATAAGGGTGATTTCAGTTTACTGTTTTGCTTGACTAACTGATATTGTTCTGTGCAGTTTTAGGTGTCTTTAGCATACATGTTGAATTTTGATGACCATTGCATATTTCATA